AGTATCTCTGGTGGATGTTTGACCCTCTCAGGGTGTTTGGCCCCTGGTCTGACCTTAAGAACTTGTTGTAAACACACCAGTGACTGCTGCTTGTCACTGCACACTGCCGGACGCCCCGCAAAGGGATGCTGGGAGCTCCTGAGAATAAATACACTGTCAGCAAACAGATGATATTGTTTCAAAGGGTTTACACTGATATAAAGGAGGCTAACTCATGGTATACTTTTATAAGACAGTATATCATCTCGCCTCGGAAATTATGATGTTCATACTCTGATTGTAATACAACAACCCTCTGTTCTTCAAGGAGAAGTGTAACATCTCATAGGGATACTATGGATATGGACATGGATACTGTCAAAAGGTCACCTGCCAACCAATCTCCTACAAGATAAACATTATTAAACGTTAAACTTCTTTCTCAATGACGTTTCGAGGGATACATACACTGAAAAAACTCAAACAATGGCTTTAATTAAATATATCATGTCGACAAATGACACATCATTGTTTTTTATTGAAACCTAATGGTATTGCTGTCAATTAACCTAGTACAATTATGTGTAATTTGTTGACATATTACATTTAATCAAAGTTAAAGTTAAAGTTTACATTTCAAAACGTTATTGACGATGCAGTTTTGTTGAATGGGAACGTCATTTTTAAAAGACCAAGCTGCATATTTCTAACCCCCCAGCTTTGTTTTATGCTTAGCCTGCACTGTGATTTGTTGATACTGATATAAGTTGACACTGCAGGGACTACCAAAAACGGACGGCAACAAAAGATTTGGCACAGTCTGCAAGATAGACACTTCCCACATCCCAGGTGAGCCCATGGTAATGGTTGAGGGTGGGTGTGCAGCTGAATGGATAGAATAGAAGCAGGAAGCAGTCTCACAGCCATCGTGTGGCAGATTGTGTGCCCGCTCCAACTTTCTCTTCTGTCTCCCCTCAAGTCCAACTGATGGATCACTACTGATGGGATTCTGTTTCTGGCGCCCCTCGGTTTGTTTTGTACTCCCCTCCCTCTCTCACCCGCCACTGATCTCCTTATTCAGTCTTTAATCTCCCCACACTCCAATTCATTTAACATTCTTGTCAGGCTCTCATTCTACCCTCTTTGTTCGTAAGCAGAACAGTTTGATCATTGCTACCCCTATTGTCTTTAGTTTGTTTTATTTGATTGGTATTAAGTTGATAAGGAACCAGAATGATCTGATGTTTTTGTACCAACATTGTGTAGGAAAGAAGCTGGAAACGTAATCACAATGCAACATTTTTTACAATTGACCAAAGTTTCAACAATTCTTTAGGGAAGCTAAAATGAAATAGATGGACTGTGTTTGGTCGTCTGTCATCTTATATGATTAAAATTAAGGACAGAAATTCCATTATTTGATTAACTCAACCCGTGTGCCGATCTTACCTCAAATGGCCTCTTCATTTTCATCCATCTTTTTTGGCAGCGTATTCGTTCCTCTTCTCTTAAGTGCTACAGAAAGAAAGTCGCCATGAAGTCAAGCGATGAGATTTTACTTCCTGGTGCTGAAGGAAAATCCATTTGCTTTGGACTCCAAAGTGTCGTCTCCAGCTAAAAGGGCTGATGTATTGATCACATTCCAAGTGCTATAATACCTTAAGTGCTTGGATGGCACAGGGAAGTCCCACCCCTCTTCAGAGTTTAATGAAAATAGATCAGGTATGCATTTTAATCACAGGAGGAAGGGACCGAGGCACAGAGGGGGGATTGAGATGAAAATAAATAGGTGGAACTAATTTGGATATTCAAACTGCTCCCATAAACATGGACGTTTAATGAAAGAGTTTGGCTTCCATTGGTACAATCCCTCACTATTCTTTCGCCACTCTTTCATTTTTTAACAAATGCATCACTGTTTCATTTTAATGGTGTAGTTTAAGCCCATCTGTTTCTAATCCCATTTGGTACGATATGGGTGGAGAAAGTCCTCTCAGTTTCTCCGTTGTTGATAGATATGTCTAGGTAGGTTTTGACAGGTATGTCTGCTGTGTGATTTATCTCCAAATCCACACAGAAAGTCTTGACGGTGTTTCTTTCGTGCTCTTCTTCAGCCAATTCTGCTCGTGTATAGCTTTTATCAAATTCATGCACGTACACACAAACTGTCAGCCTGTGTCTTTCACCTATCTCTCTCTCACGCACACCGCCCATTGACGATAAGGTTTTGGTAAGGCATCATCTCACACATTGTTTTAATCAGCTGTAGGGGCTTTGAGATGTGAAAGCAAAGGAAGTGACGGGAGAAGAGAGAGTGTTGGTGTGTGTAGTGTTGGAAAGCTTCAGTATAACCATTCATCTGGTTCCAATCACTCCACCTCTCCAGCCTCCTGCTGTCAGACTGCCTGAATGTAGGACAGGAACTATGATCGTCTATGTTTATGTGTGAATATATGTGTGTGTGTAGGGCAGGGTTGCCAACTTTGGGTACCTGGCTGGAGTGAGATTTTGATATCATGGGTTTAATTACACATATGCGCACTAAATGACTGCTATCGTGTCAGTAGCGGGACCTTAGCATATATATAGGATATATAGTATATACAATATATACTAATACACAATATTGGACACAGACTATAAAGGGCACAAAGTTTCATTCACTAATGAAAGTCAAACACATGTTTGTTTCCACTGTTTTATTGTGTGCCTGTCGCGATAAGCAAATAATTGACTTAACGTACGATAAATACAAATGAACTCGATAAATTGCCATCCACATGAGGATGTGACTAGCAGTTTGAAAGGATGTACTTGAATTATTATTATATATTATCATTATGTCAGTGGTCTAAAATGGTCATACAACGGTGCCGACAATATTATCGTTTATCGCACTAATTTCCGGGAAAATGTATCCAACAAAATTAATTATCGTGAGAGGCCTATACATGAAACACACACACAAACAAATCTACAGACTTACTCCAAACTGCCAAATATATTAACACACTCTCACTCTCATACACTCTTGACTCTATTTTGGCCTAGTAGAACAATAAGCAGCAGACTTTTACTTTTTATCATTTCTACTGGATCATAGATCTGCGCATGCGCAATACGAGTCGGGGATTGACCAACCGGCTGCTCCCACTGCTCTGCTGTCTGTTAACGTTGTTAAGAGTGGTGGGGGGCGGGGAGGGAGCTTGAGCTGCTGTCAACTCAACATTGTAAATAACCAACCAAAAACGATCGCCGGTTCATCTTGTTTTTGACGTGAGAATAGTTTGGGCAGCGTGAGAGCGTGAGATTGAGAGTGAAAGCGTGTGTCACATGCCAGATGCGTGAGAGTTGGCAACCCTGGTTAATCTATCCTGCTATAATGACAGCAGGCCCCCTCTGCTCCTCAGGCCTTTTTTCCATTTGTTTCTTCCTAGGTAGGCTATGATGACGAAACGATACCCAGGTCCAAATGGACCATTCCGCGGAGCTCCTCACACACACACACTCACTCAGCCTTATCCTTTCTCAGCCGCGGCTCCGCTGATCTCCACTCACAGTTCGCCACACACAGCCAGCCTGAGCACACAGCCTGTGTTTGTTCGGCGGTGTCTCGCAGCAACCAGGAAACGACACCAGTAATACAGCTCACACTGTCCGCTCCTCGAGCCTCAAAGGGCGGAGCAGCGAGCCCCGCAACGTCCCGCCAACACGGCACCTAGACCCCACGCAGCATTCTCATCTGTTTGTCATTGCTGGTGTCATTTTCTGGTTGCTAACGACATTGTAACATGATCACTGATGTTCCGCTGTAACGGTGGTAGACTCATCAGAGCAAAGTGGGCTCACAGGGAGGGGGGGGGGCAGGAGCTCCAACAAGGCGTTTAGGACAGAGAGTGAATACACATACTATACATGCCCCCCCCCCTCCCTGTGAGCCCACTTTGCTCTGATGAGTCTACCACCNAGCCTATTTACTTCATGTGCCGATTGCATTTTTCCCGCGCTTCAACTTTTTTTGGAAAAGGGCAATAAGTTGTTGTTAAATCTGTGCAGATTATCCTGCTGGACAAACCATGTTATTGAGTATCATGGGTATGTTTGCAAATATGTTTATTTTCTGCCAATATTTTTCCAAAATCTTAAGGTGGGAGGGAGGAAAAAGAGACTCCGGCGGGCAGTTTGCTTTTTGTAGACGGGTCGGGGGCGTGTGTGGAGACCGTTGCTATGCCCCTTGTACATTTTGGGTCAGCCTTACAAAAATATGCCTCACTGCAGCCGCTCTGCCTCTGTAGAGGCACTGCCTTGGAATTCATTTAAAAATATAGAAAACAACATACAACAGTTTAACAAGTGGTATTCAGTTTTCCTTTAATTACATCTTTAACAGAGACAGACAAAACAATAGGCACCAACACCTGCTTAACGTGATAAAAGCTTAAAATTAGGATAACGCTTTTAAAAAGAATGTATCATAGCAGAATGAAATGGTTAATACAGCAGCTGAACAGCTCATCTTTTAAAGTGGGGTACGGTAATTCACTATCAGAAACAAACTTTGATGGTGTAGTATTCCAGTGGGAGATGCTCGTGTTAACGATCCCGAGTAGCAGATGAATACGATGAAATGCTTTGACAATAAAATCCATTAAAAAATGTCCTCTGTGGAGAGCCGTGAGTACTGTTAAAAAGCACGACCATTCATTTTGCGCGCCCGGCTAAAAATAACTGGATGCCTACCCTGCCTTGTCGAGCCTTCCATCTGTGCACAAAACTTATCTCGTGCCCTCATTGGTCATGTGCGCGTTCGTGTGTGTTGGAGGAGGGGCTCTGTAAGGAAGTCTGAAGGAAGGGGCAGATTTTTTGGCTAGTTTCAAATTCTAGCGCACTCGAGCTGGTTTCTCCAAAATTACCTACCCCACCTTTAAGCTGTGAAGTCAAGTGATGTGAAATAATAAATATAGCCAGCAAATAAAGTAGTACACCTGATTTCTTACTTTGTGTGTGTGTGTGTGTGTGTGTGTGTGTGTGTGTGTGTGTGTGTGTGTGTGTGTGTGTGTGTGTGTACACAATTGGTCTTCATGTTTTTGTTCAATGTATTTTGCTTCTGATGCACAGGAGATGCACTGAGCTTCCTCTAGTGGTGTAAGGTGTGCACTACACTGAGAGCAGTGGTTCAAGTCAGTAATAACATATAATAACGGTTTCAACACATTCCATAAGTACATTTTATCAGCCAAAAAACAAACAGATAAGCTTTTCTGGGTCTCAATTTAGAAACCTCAACCTCACTAATGATGACATCATCATGTTCATGTTTACCATCATGTCTTGCGTCTTGAACATGGTCTTGAAGCAAAACCATACAGCTCAATACTGTAAGCACTTTACATGTTGACCAGGACCCATGTTTATCAAACTTGTAATCAAACACAATAAAAAAAATCATATTATGACTTAGAATATTTAAAATCAAGTAAGATCTCTTTAAGTGGCTGAGGGCACACTCCTTATGTGACATGCTATAGAAGGCAGTATGGTTCTATGTATAGGAATACAGAATAGACTTGTTTAGGGCAGCTATTTCCTGCTGTTCCAGTCTTATGTAAAGATGCACATTTAAAAAGATGTTAACCCACGTAGTTTCCTTTTGATCATACGAGAGCTTCACCGTCAGTGAGGTGTGTCGCCAGCTAAATCTGTATTCTTCTTCTCATTTTGTATGAATAACACATTTGATACAGGCATTTAAACGCCCCAGTCACTTTTCAGTCTCTGTGATATGGTTTTATTTTCCTTTTGTAAATGCGGCCTGGGTCCAGACAGCCTTGAAAACAACACATTGGTGGCTGCAGCCGACTGCCCCCTGTTCTCTGAGTCAGCTGGTAACAGTGTTAAGGTTCTCATGTCCTGAAGGTGTCAGCGCCTCCTCAGGTCCCGCCTCAGTTCATACTGGACCTCATGTAAACAGTTCCAAACACTGTTGAGTCCAGCTCCCTTTGACACTCCACATGTGACACAAAGCCATGTGTTTCTGTCCACTTCATCAGCTCCACCTGCTCCTGTCTCTCCGTCACTCAGTCAGATGTTGATGTCCCGGACATCTGTGGGTGTCGTTGAGAGGTCCTGCTCCTCGCTGATGTTCTTAGTTTCCATGGCAACTGTGTGTTGGGGTTGTTGTGCCAGTCTGAGGCTGGTTTCCAGCAGCACCTCGATTTGTTCCTGACACGCCCTGAGACAGTCCTGCGGACAGAGGACAGGTTAGCGGAAAGTCAGACATTCTGTGTGTGTGTGTGTGTGTGTGTGTGTGTGTGTGTGTGTGTGTGTGTGTGTGTGTACCCACCGGGTCACTCCTGATGGTCTGTGCCAGCTGCTCTGTCAGTTTCTGAGACATCAAGCTGTTGCCCACCATCCTCATCTGGAGCCCCTCCACCGCTGCCACCATGCTGCCTGCTGCTATCATGGAGGGGGGGCTGGCAATAAACTTCACATCTGCAACACCATGGAACTTAACATTAATATGGCACATTTTAAATAACAAGTGACACAACAATAGACAACCAATAACAACATTTTGTAACTCCATTCCATGCACAGGGTTTGAAGGGTTAGTTTAAAAATGAATTATGTTAACATTACTAATATGAAGAATAGTAATCAGTTGCTTAATCTAAGTATCACCAGATAAAAGTCAAATAACCTTGACTTTTTGTTACTGTTCATTCACTTCAATGTCAAATGCAATGCTAGTAAAGAGCATAGTATAGCTCACAAAGCAGAGTACACATCTGCTCTCTTATTGGCAGAGATGATGCTTTCAATAGAATATATTGAGTAGTAGCACTGACAGTATTTGAATCAAACTAGATGTCCAACTCCTGAATTGCAAATACAGGAGATAAAGGCCCACAGGATTCTAGAGACAATTATAGTGAATAGTATACTTTAGAAATTCGGTTTTATTTCAATACATGAATTAAAAGCAAACATTATTTACTTTTTGCATATCAGGGGTCTACCTACAGCATTTAAAAAAATATATATATTTAAAAAAAGGAGAAGATGAATGTAGATGAAAACAAAAAATCTGTCTGTAAAAGAGATGCTGACCTCTTGGATAATGACTGTATATTAACAGCTGGGTGGCACTGTGACTGTAATGGCATACAGTTACAGCTTTTTGTATTCTAATGACACCATCTCTTTATATGTCATCTGTTTCTCACCAAGCCTGTCACACAAAACAAACACAGGGGCTGGGTTCATGGGCAGGTGGTGTTAAAGGGAACGGCATTTTAGACATTTAAATGTGACCCAGGAAGTCCAGTTGGAATAATAGATAGAGGTTGTAATGTTCCGTCACTATTTCCCTCATGAAAGTATTATTAAAACATGAACCAGCAGCAGTAATTAATCATTTATTTGTGTTGTTACTGGCTGCTTCTTTACTAACTCAGACTGTAACGCTGTCTAAGAGACAATCACTGTAATGTGTGATATACCATTTTAAGGGTTTCATTGGTTGCTACTTCAACTGTGTCATCTGTCCACTTACTTTCCCTGTAATGCGAGGATTTATATAGGATTTTAAGTTTTCTTTGAGTTAATACAGTTTTTTTTGTAGATGTTTTGTGAGTTTTGGTTACTTTGGAGCCTTTTCGATTGGTAGACAACCATTTAACAACTGTGTCACAGCTGAGAGAAAACAATCTCTTCAGTGTTAACGTAAAGCAATTGCAACGTTTTAAAAAGATATAGAATACTGTGAAATACATGAGGACGGCCTCAACAGCGAATGGGAACACTTTGTCCTGATGTCAAAAGAGACGTATGTAATATATCCCCATGCGTACCTGTGGCACACAGAGCCACGAAGGTCTGAGCGTGCTTCCTGAGGATGGGCCTGTTCTCTCTCCTGACAGCCAGCTGAGACAGGAAGTGGTCGAGGAAGTCAAGGGGGGTCACTGAAGCCAGGTCCCACTTCAGCTTATTCAGAACCAGCAGCTCCATTTGCTGTGTGGACAGAGGGACAGAAGGACAGGTTCAAGTTTGATCCCTCAGACAGATGCAGGGATTAACAGAGATGGGGACGAAGGGGTTCGGTCTACATGTGGGGATCTTTGGCTTTAAGGTGAACAAGGAAGGTCAGGGGTCATCAAAACCCATTAGGGAGCCTCCTCTGGGGACCATGATGGAGTGTTGGTCACTGGGTAATGTATCTTGGTGGTGGAGCTTCAAGAATCGGCCTAGAGATGACTAAACATTTTAGAAGCTTTACCCCTGGGACAATAATAAGACGAGGAAATGTCTGGATCGAAGAAATCGTTCAGACGGACAGACGGAGGGCCTGATGCCAGACATAGGGAAATAAGTGATATACTTATGAGCTTTGCCTATTGTATCCCCACTAAGACTAGCTTTGTGGAGGACTAATCTTTTTGGCTTAGGAAGGTTCTTAATGGAGGGAAATGACCCAGAAGTATCTAAGTGGCATTTTTGCACAAGACACCCAGGACCATCCTTTAGGAAAGGAGGCCTTGCAGCCGTAACTTTAAAAGTGACCCACCAGTCCGCCGTTTTTTAATCAAGCATTGGTAATGAGGTAATATCTTTGTTCCGGTCTTCCAAGTTGCCTGCCATAAACAACACCAAGAGAACGCACGGGGTATCTAGAAGCGCTTTTAGTAGTCCATGAGGAACATGTCTAGTTTTCCCACAGCAGACACACATCTTTAACCTCCAGGTGTCACACAATCAAAACATCGCTCAGTGTAAATGCAGTTTGACTACTTGACCGAAGCCCAAAGTGCTGTGCTGTGATGGAGACCTACCAGCAGCTGGGTGGTTGTGATGGAGTTGTCGGTGTAGATGCAGAGTTTCTCGGCACTGAGTGGCATTGTCTCCTTCAGTTTGGATGCCAGGAACATGCAGACGGCCCCCAGCTGCTGCAGGTGGCTCTTCTTGGTGGGTTCCACAGACAGGAAGCGGTCCATGTAGTTCATCGCCAGAGGGAAGACCTCCTCCTCACACTTCTGCTCCTCACAGACCTGCACACACAGACCAGACACACTGCCATTAAACACTGTTTCTTATTTAGCTCATAAGAAGAATTCACTTTGATCCACAGAGGGCTACCACTGCAATATCTGGCCAAGCGTTATCATGACTTCCATGATGTCCATGAGTGAGGATTATCGATATCACATCTGCAGAAAAGACCACTGGTGTCAGTTTCAAACAACACTAAGAGTTTAATTATCTGAATAAAGACATTGTGAATCACATGTTTCACAAGTTCAGCGTGAATCCTATCTAAGATGGAGGGAATCCTGTTTGAGATGATGCTGTTTCCAACAGTTTGCTGCCAAAAATACAATTCCAATTAAAAGGGAAAAATGGAATGGATATAAAATGTTAAATGTTTAAGGTATCGCAAAGAACATGAATCATGTTAACAGGGATTCAACTGTGCGTAATAAGCTATAGGTTATTTATTTATGCCATGACAATAAGAACAAAATAACTAAAATTACCAGAAAAAAATATTGGAAAATATTAATAAAATCACAATTTTGATAATCAATGATTAAAGTAAATTATCAATTCAGTTTCATTAAAGTGAGAATGTTTTGCAAATCTTGGTTTCATGTCCTTAACTATAACCTCTTGGCAAAAAGAGAAAGAGAGATTGTATTAGAATCTTTTTTAGATTAGTGGCACAGTCAGTAGGGGCTTGGACTGTGAGCCGTAGGGTCGCCGGTTCAAGTCCCCGACCAGACCTAAAATATGGAGTGTGGACTGCTACTTGGAGAGGTCCCAGTTCACCTCCTGCCCTGCCGTGGTGCCCTTGAGCAAGGCACCGGACATCCCCCTTCCCCCCTAACTCCCATTGCTCCCCGGGCGCTGTACAATAGCTCAGTACTAGACTCCTGGTACTAGGATGGGTTAAAGCAGAGACCACATTTCACTGTGTGTGCTGTGTATGAGTGACCATTAAAGAGGGTTTCATTCCTCCCTATTATATTCTTCTTCTTTTATTCGATATGGCCTAAAGCAGGGGTTTTCAAAGTGTGGGTAGGTGAGCCTCCCCTCAGAGAACATAAGAACAGCCGCGCCCCCCCTCCCAATTATTATTGCTATTATTATTATTATTATTATTATTGTTGTTGTTGTTGCTATAATGCAGGGGTATTCAATTGCATTTCAAAGAGGTCCAGTAAGAGAAAATGTAATTAAATGCTCTGTTTTCGCTGTCTACCTTCCNCTGGATCTTAGATCTGCGCATGCGCAATACGGGTCAGGGATTGACCAACCGGCTCCCACTGCTCTGCTGTCTGTTAACGTTGTTAAGAGTGGTGGGGGGCGGGGAGGGAGCGGATCGACAGCTTGAGCAGCTGTCAACTCAACATTGTAAATAACCAACCAAAAACGTTCGCCGGTCCATCTTGTTTTTGGCGTGAGAATAGTTTGAGCAGCGTGAGAGCGTGAGATTGAGAGTGAAAGTGTGTGTCACACGCCATATGCGTGAGAGTTGGCAACCCTGGTGTAGGGGTGAGAAGGATGTCGTCTGCCATGGGGATGTGTGTTCTGGTGTGTGTTCACATGGTAGGAAGTCTTTCGGTGTGCCAACTTGCACAATGTGTTGTGTATGCAAGCATAGCGGCCTCCAAATGTTGGTGCTGTCTGTATGCCAGAGATATCTACAGGGAAGAAGTCAGGCTGTGTAATAAGACAAAGGCAACAGTGAAAATCCATCAGGTTTAGAATGACATTTGCTCAAATTTTTTATATCAATAAAGCAAACCTTTCCAATGTTGTCATGAAAGTAGCCTATTGCCAACAGAGCAATTATATTAGAAAAAAAATCACATTCATCATTGCACATATCAAATATGGCGATTGCCATACTAATGAGTGGGTGGAATTAAAACTCCAAATCATATCAGTTATTTATCTGTTAAGGTTGTTAAACTTTAACAGACAGAGTTGCTCCTGAAGGGCTAACACATGTAAATGTGTGAATGCTAAGTCAGCATTCACAATCTGTTCTTCTGCTGCACAAACTTGTTTTTATTGTTGTTATCGGCAGTGTTTTTTGCTTTGATTCCCTTTCCTTATTTCCTATATGATTTTATTTTTAAATCTAGCAATGTACATTGTCAGCTTTTCAAGCTAAAATCTAAAATGTTCAACCTCTTTATACATGTAACCAACATTCATTCATTTTTAACCTATTCCTCATCCGAACATTACTGCTTCTTCATCTTCTTCTTAGACCTTCAAGCCATCATTTCAGTTTAGCATGAGCTCTTCAGCCTACAGCAATCAAAGCGCACTTTTCTCAGACATTGCATATTCTGGTATTAATAAGTAAAAATGCATGATAGCAGATTCCCAGCAGCATTAGGATGGTATTTATAAATAATCAACAGTAACTTCTATATTACATGAGAATGGAATTGGCTGCTTATGGTGGCATGCTAACATGCTAACTATTTAACACATAGCATGATAACAGACAGCATGTGCTTGGTAAGTAGTATTGCCTTCAGCTGCAGTACCTTAATCTTTAATGCTGCTTCATCATCTGACTTTTAAATGATAAAAGTGTCATATAGCAGTGAAGCAGATAATTTACCAGGGATGAGAAGAGGATCTGTTACATTTCTTAGTAGTCAACCAACAGTCCTGGCTGCTGAAAACTCAAAAACACATCTACTTTAGCAGCTTCAAAACACTTTGTGTTTCCTGTCCAGTAGTTACAGCTTCACCGTGTCTTGTTTTTGCCTCTTGCATTAACACATAGGCCTACTCATGGCTGCTATATTCCTTATTGCATCCAGCTAGTGAGGGGCCCTGGGTAAGACCTGTTCACACCCCGCTGAGTCTACTTCCTGGCTGTATCTCTCTGTGAACAAAGTCCAGACCACCGGGGCTTAATCCATCTGCCAAGATAAAGAGGCCAGAAGGAATGTGTTGGTTTGTGTGTGTTTATGTTAGACAGTGTGTAAAGTAACCCCAAGTATTCACATAAGAAAACAAAGATTGTGCACATATGGATCCAAGAACAGAAAGCTGTTCTACTCCGGTCAGTGACCTCCACTTTGACTGATTCATAATTTGAGGTGACTCCTCTGTTTATGTCCACTCAAGGATACTGCCTGATCATTTGTAGTGCTATACAACCTTCAGAGGGGTGGTCCCCAAAATGGATGCTCTTGTCTGGTACTCCCGCAATGCTACAAAGACAAGGATGTGTGTGAGTGTGTGTGTGTGTGTGTGTGTGTGTGTGTGTGTGTGTGTGTGTGTGTGTGTGTGTGTGTGTGTGTGTGTGTGTGTGTGTGTGTGTGTGCGTGCGCGCGTGTGTGCGCGCGTGTGTGCGCGCGTGTGTGTGTGTTTATAAAATAGATTTCTTGAATTGAATGAACACATAAACAAAATATATTTGGTTAAATGCTACCACTAAATGACTACATGATACTTATTCTCACATTAAAAGAAAACAGTTTTTCAGTATGTGTGGACGGGTCAAAAAAGTAGTTAGGATTTGGATTAGTGAGCCAGAATAGTTTTCTTCCTAGTGGCTGCGTAAGGAACATCTCATCAAAGAGTCACCCCAGGTCAGTTGTGTGTTTCTCTAATTTCTGTGGTCTGTTTTACTGCCATGTATGGTGCACTTCACGGTTGGTTGGGGTGCCATCCAGCCAACTTCTCTAATTGGTTATATTTTTACCCCACACTGTCCTCAGAGTTTCGCTCTGTTTTAAAGGCTTTATGCAAATGGTTAAAGAATGTCTTGCTGCCCCAGAGCTGTTGCACCACATTTAATGAAAACCAAAACTAAATGTGGTTTTTGAGAAACAGAAATAACCATAAGAAATGCATCATTTATAATACTATGTTTGCGATTCATAAAATGTAAGTATTAAACAGTTAAATATACACATGTGCACTAGTGAGAACATTTTTTAATTAAACCTTTTGGAAAAGCTCTCCTGACAGCAACCTTTTCCTGTAAAAAGTCATCATCAGCACACAAAGACTCCTGACATGTGCAAGTCAAGACCTGTCCTTTTGTCACTAAATGTGAAGAGTCATGTTTCATTTAAAGGCCAAGAAGGAGGAACCTGTCTTTCTTTCAATCTGGTGTATTGAGAATACATCTGAATCATCGCTACATCAAATGTGTTGGTAACGGTCTCATAATTTTTGTCTGCAAAAACTTAGATGAATTCATGTATATTACATTTACTCTATTCACATTATATTTAGGTAACTCAAAGTTGAAGTAAGTGTAAATAAATTCTGTTTATGGTGGGATATTGAAAATGTCAACATTCACTTTAGTATAAGACAGGAAGCGCTGATCATTTAAAAAAAATCAAAATCAAAAGTTTTCCCTTTGCCTCTCTGAGGATTTTAGAAAGCTAAACTGAACAATTGATGTTCAGTGATTTGAACCCTAAGCTCAACTTTGTTTGAACCTGTGATGTCACGAACACACAAGACAATCAAATCCCCTCAGCAGTTCTGATGGACTTAGCACTCACAATGTTCCTACACATGGCTGAAGGAGCACGGCTGCTTGTGATCCCAGGAGTTCCTGCTGCAAACACACGGATATGACTCCAGTCTGAATTGGCTGTGTCTCAAGGTAACAACATCACTTACTCAAGCCCAACATAAGAAAGTTTCATTAACTGGATATCACTCTATATGAACAAAGTTTAAGTAAGTTATAGTATCCCTAAACTGATTGCCTATAGAGGAGTGCAGTGATGACTTATTCTTATATAGGCTGACCCTGGACGATCGCAAAAGCCCCCTCGACAAAATTGGAATTTTTCCATTTGGATTTTGGAATATTGCAGAAAATAAGATTTGATCAGCAGGATAATATTCACAAATGAACTGCCCTTTTATATCAGTTGAAGTGTAAATGCAAAAATGTGAAATGCAAATGTTATAAACTAACCAGATGCATATCACAGGTGCAAGACTTAACGTCACCCCTGATTGCATTTAGTTTTCTAATTCAGTCACATCT